AGAGAGAGTAGTTGACAGGAGATATATTTCACTTAGTTAAATATATAGTAAAAAGTTGATTTTTATAAAATAAAATAACCGGTTGGAATATAACTTTAGCTAGTTATTCTCACTTTGAGTCATTTCCATGCTTTTCTTTTAGGTTGAGAAAAAGCCATTTAGCGCGGAAAGACCATAATTATAATTTACTCACCTATATATATATATATATATTTATATATATATATATATACACACAACTATAATTACAAACTCTAATGCTTTTAAATTATCACATTTACCTACACCTTCATTAATTACTACCCTACCCATCTACAAAGTCTACTACTTTAATCCAATTCAACCCATGATGATATAAACTTGTTATTTTTCAAACCATAATTAATTAACTTAATAGTGTAAGGTTAGACAAATCAGGGTTTATGGGTATGTCCAAGATATAGTATATTGATTTTTGAAAATATGGGTTTAATTGAATTTATTATATAATGGTGAAAATAATTTCATTCTCTCTCATATGTGTGTGTGTGTGTATATATATATATATATATATATGGGGCAATATATATAGATGGAAAAAAAGAGAGGGTCAACTGGAAGAAAGGGAAGAGAGCACAGGGCTCGAGAGTGAAAGACAGAGAGAGACACAATAATTGAGAGTTCCCACACTCATCTTTGATGTGGGAATTGATAGATCCAAAATTAACCTAATAATTTTCTTTTAACACTAAATTTGAGGTAATGCCTACTTCTTACCTATATTAATAAACTCCAATCCCAATTAATTCTTTTTCCATAAATATAATTATTAATTTCAATCTTCTATATCGTAAATATATTTCTTTCATCCCATGCTTCTATCATTATGTCTTTTTTTTTTTTTTTTTTTTTTTTAGTGGGAGGGTATTTTCGTTAATTATCTTCTATTATATGTTATTCAAGTATAATGTATATTCAGTATCAATTTTAGTGTTTTGGGTTGAAAGATTTTATAAATATAATTAATTGTCTTAAAATTATTGTGACAAACAACAACTTATGTTGAAAAATACACAATTATTGAGTTTTTTTTTCTTTTTAATTTATTTATAATCCTACAATAACTATTTATTTTTCTAAATTTATTCTGTAATATGTCATTTTTAGAATAAATATACATAACTTGACTCAAGTTTATAAAAATTATAAATGAAATATTATTATTTACAAATATGTATACTCTCGACCCCCATTTCTTTTCCTATCTTGATGGAAACTTTGATATACAAGAGGTTCAAAATATATACATGTGTGTGTGTGTGTGTGTGTATATATATATATATAGGGAGAGAGAGAGAGAGAGACGTACATATATTTAGGAGGTCCAACTTCAGCCATCCATTTTCCATTACTATGACTTAGGAAAGGTTGGTCAAACTAATAATAATACTTCATATCTGAAGATTAATTAAAAGAAAAAGTAATTAATCCCAATATATATTTAATTTAGACGAAGAGGGGTGCAAAATTGAAATTAAATAATGAATAATTAACCAGTCATGTATGGAGAGAATGTATGGCAGGAAACCTGGTAGATGCTCCTACGACTCTCCTCCTTTAAACGCCATTTGACGTAGCTTTCATGTTCATATATTACGTGTTTGATCGGATATACATATACATATACATATACATATACATATACATATACGTACATATGATATGTGATAATCTTGTTTATATATACAAAAAGATATCGGTTTAGGCTCCTAATTCAAAACATGGGGAGCTAAACTCCATGAAAGTTAGGAGCTCCATGTCGGCTACTGAAAAAAATAAATAAATAAATAAACTGAGTCAATCATTCAATTAATTACTATAAATTAATTTTATATATATATATCATTTAATGGGTGTGTATAAATGTATAAATATTAATTAAAATTAGCGTAAATTTAGTTTAAATTTTAATTATTTAGATATAATATAAACATAATAAAAAATTAAAATGAAAATGATAGTATAATTTTAAGTAAATCATATATCTAAAATTAAAATTAATTTTTTTTCATTAGTTTTATTGACTAATTACAAATTTAAAATTCATGATTGTTTAAACTAAAGATAACTAAAATGAAATTGATATAATTATGTACGAGTGATGATTAATTATTAAATATCAAATAATTAAAACATAAAAATTATATAATATTTATTAACTAAATAGTTGGTACTTTTTTCTCTTTTTTTTTTTTTGAATGAAAATGTTGGTTAAATTTATATGTACTATATATTCCGTATGTCATTATTGTTGTAAGGTCATAGTATCATCAAATTTATTATTATTATTAATATATAGGTAGTAATTAATTATTAAATATATGAATTTTTATATAAAAATATAAAATAAATTTAAACTAAATAAATTGATTGATTATAATTAAAATTTAAAGGGTAATATTTATAATCATATATTTATATTAAGAAATAGATGGAGAAAATCAGAGGAGAGGTTAAGAGTCAACCCAAGTAAAGAACAAAAAAAAAAAAAAAAAAAAAAAAGGTCATGCCTCGGGCCCCTAATTGCAAATAGCCTTTAAAAAATTAAAAACTTTTGGATGGTTAATTATAAGATGCATGGCAGGCTCTTAAGGCCGCAGTTCTCTTAACTGTTTAATTATAATTATAATTTTATATTAATCAAATCCAATAATTAGCGATCACTAATTTACGCGGTTTGCACGTGATTGTATCATCAATTTAACCACAAATAAAAATAAAATTTATTTTGAGGGAATGATTCTGTGTGTGCCACTCCATACTAAACTTCTAAATTTCAATTTTGACTTTTGACTTTTTTTTTTTTTGAAAAAAAACAAACCAAGGTATCTTCGATATTCCCTCAAACAAATACCATTCATTTATTAATTAACAAGTCACATTAATATCATATAAAATAAAATATAATTAATATTATTATGGATGATCTTGATTAGTGAAAATTTCAAAATACAATTACAATATAAAATGATTTACTAAATGACTAATTGCATAATTATTGTAATCTTAGATTTAGTAATAGTGAAAAGAACAAGATTGGATGTTACTTATGCAGTTTATTTAGTCAATTAATTTATAATACTCCATGCTCATGTCACTATTTTCAGCTTCTTTGAAATTTTTACCAAGTGAATAGTGCTTTTATTTAAAAAAAAAATAGATTTTATGCTAATGAATTAAGTATATTAATTTATAGCATAAGTTTATATATGTTTCAAATAATTTTTTTTAATAATACGTAATCTTGTTAAAAATCTAATATGATATCACAACTAAATTTTTGTTATATCTCATAAACTGGTCATGTTTATGTTTATCATGCTTACATACATATTGTGTGTATTAATATTCGATTTTTCTTATACTTGTTCGTATACATGTATTCAAAGAGAATGTCCAAAGATCTTTAATTTAAAAATAAATAAATAAATATATAAAATGTAATGTATGTGGTTATTTATATATAATAGAGGTAGAATACTAATCTTTACTCTTTATATACATTAATATCTCTATTCTCTCTTTCTCTCTCTATCTATATTTATATATATATATTATTAATTTATAGGACTTAAAGTAACTCTATATTATTATTATTTTTTTATAAAAAAAGAAAAAGAAAACAAACCCTTTTACATCTCTCTCCCTTAATAGCATTCAATTATAACTTGTAAGTGGTAATTAACTTAGTTGATAACATGAGATTTTCTTTCTGTCTCTTGTATTTTATTAATTAATACTCTCTAAAGCAAATTTGAGATAATGAGATTACATAATAATTGGTTTATATACACATGATCTATGAGTTTTGGTTTCCCTGTGACCACACTCACATGTACAATTTAATTTCAATGGGTATATATTTTTATTGGCTGGCATTTTATTTGCTGTTTGACCTAATAATTAATCATATACTAATTATATATTAATTGAAACTATATGCTAAAGAATCTTTGAAATATAAATTAATCACACACATTCGTCAAACCATAATATGATTACCGTACATTGACAAACGAGAGACTGATCAAAATGCATCACACCGCACGAGACCACCTAATAAAAAGAAGATACATTTAATATATGAATGTATATAAATATACACACACGCGCGCGTATATCGACATACTATAGAAGAAAATTTAGAATCACAGAAGGGTCTCATCACCGTCCGATTAGATTAACACACAGATTCTACGATAAGACCGTTCTGAGACAATAGGAAAAAATGGGAAGCTGAACAGAGGATTTGTTTGTTATTGGTGGATTAAATATGAAATCTTAACTACAGGAAAGGGGTCAGAAAAAGTATTACCGGGTTTTCCGGTGCAAGGACGAATAAGGAATAGCTTATGAGTGACACGTGGTTATATATTAACCGTAGGATGGTCAAGCGACGGATGAGATTCAAATCTTTTATGAATTGAAACTGGAAGAAAACTGTAGAGAAGTACCCAGAGGAGATGAGATAGAGAGACTTTGCTGGTCTTCGTTTTAACACAAGAACAGCAGTTGCAGTAATTGATGATGAGAAAGAGAGAGAGTTTTGGTTCTTGTCTTAAATGAAGGGCTTTGTGGGAAAAGTGGTGCAGTTTCCATGGCGGCGTTGCAGGGAGCGCTGTAATTCCGTGCCATTATTGCAGCTTCAGAATTATATTGAATCAACCTTCTTTCTCTTCTACTTACCCTAAAAATACAAATTTCTGTAAAACCCAGATACAAACACACGCGCGCGCGCGCGCACACACACACACACATATAAGGTGGAGTGGGTCAAAACCAAACCGTTCACAGACTGAACAGTAGTCGAAGAAGAAAAACGCAGAGAAGGGTTTGGTGTGGCTATGGATTGTGGGTCTAAATTGGGTTTGGTTAATTCAAGTAGTGGGTGCAACAAATGGCTGGGTTCTTCTATCTAGGTGGTAGAGAAGGCGGAACGAGCAGCAAGCAAGAAGAAGATAAAGAAGAGAACAATCTGTATCTTTACAGATCAAACGAAGAGATCTACAACAAGGGGTTTGAGATATGGCCGGAGTATTATCAGCAAAACACGAGCAGCTTCTCGTTTGGGGTGGGTCCTAGTCGAAGAACCAGCTTGGGTGATGACTGGTCGTCAAGATCGGGTTTTACGCTGATGAGGCAAGGAGGTATGAACTGTCAGGATTGTGGAAATCAAGCGAAGAAAGATTGTGCTCATTTGAGATGCAGAACTTGTTGCAAGAGCCGAGGGTTTCAGTGCCATACCCACCTTAAGAGCACTTGGGTCCCTGCTGCTAAAAGGCGAGAGAGACAACAGCAGTTTTCAGCTTTGCAGAACCAAAATCAAGATCACCAACAACAACAACAACTCCTCCAGTTTCGAGAAGAAAACCCAAAAAGGCAAAGAGAAAATCAAGGTGCTTGTTCTCTTGCCTCCACTCGTTTGCCTACCTCATCAGGTAATCATATTAAACCCTGAGATGATGATGGGTTTTCTTTTTTCTGTTCTTTTTTTTTTTTTTGTTTCTCTCATCGTCTTTCTGCCTTTTGGACTGTATGAATCCACAATTTTAATTTCTGAAGAAACATATTGGTTTATAAAGTCCAAATTAGCTAACATGTTTCAGGAATTTCCAAACTAGAGTACCATATCATTTGCGTGTCTCAGATCAAGTCCGTCTCCGTAGTCTTCCACCCACTTTCTTTTTTCTTTCTTTTCAAATGATTCTTACCACTGTTTCTTGGTAAAACTTACGACATAGTTTCTTCAAATTGGCTAAAATTCCTCCATTGTCTTTTCAATCAAATACTTAATATTTTTTGTTTTATTTGAAATTCATTAGGGTTAGAAATAGAAAACTTCCCACAAGAAGTGAATTCAACAGCGCTGTTTCGTTGCGTGAGAGTAAGCGCCGTGGACGACCCAGATGAAGAACTCGCATATCAAACGGCTGTAAACATAGGAGGCCATGTTTTCAAAGGTATCCTCTACGATCAAGGCACTGAAAGTCGGTATAACATGGATCATCACCATCAACATCTCAATCTCATCACTGCATCGACAACAGCTGCAACAACAACTACTACAGCAGCAGGAGCAGGCACGAGTACCAACCCTGCAGGAACCCCTTTGCTTGATCCTTCTCTTTTCCCGGCTCCACTAAACGCTTTTATTGCCGGTACGCAATTCTTCCCGCCCCCAAGGTCTTGAGACTCATCTGATTCGAATCTAGCTTCTTTGTAACTTTTCAAATGAAGGAAGCAAACATGGTATTGTGGGTATTAATTTATGACCTATCTCTAGCTAGTGTCTTAAAACAGTATTCAACCAAGTAGATTTAAAGCACAGAAATGAGAGTAGAATGACATGGGAATGTTGGAGTTTTTTTTCGAATTTGAATTGAAAATTCCGTGGTAATTATTTGAGTGTAACTTTTTCTTTTCTTTTTGAGTTCAATTTGATTCACTCTCTAGTTCTGGGTTTGATATTGAATTGGCTTTCTGGTTGGTGTTGAACTGGAAGCTGCTTTTTTTCTACTTCATCCATTTGCTTGCAGAATCAAAATGGCACGAAATAGGTTTCGTGTTGGGTTACGCAAAGAATTTGAACAAAAACCCTTTTTATTATTATTATTATTATTATTATTATTATGATTTAATCGATATCCAATCAAATCTGAAGAAAAAAGAGGAAGCGCATGGGTGGTAGCTTTGCAACTCTTTCATGCATTGGCATATGACAAAGTGAAAACAATTGCCTTCCAGTCCAAAAGTGAACCCATCTTCTCTCTCTCTTTCTCTCTCTCATCACTAAATCTATACGTATGGGTTATACACGTACACATACATACTTTACACACATTCTTATACTTTTATTACGTAGATACATATATCTAGACACACAACGTATATATATTTACATGTAGATGAGTGTGTATTTACCTATATAATCCATTATCATTTCATACACATACTCATGGATATATTTATACATATATGCATGTATGTATGAATGTATCAATGTATGCATGTTTGTGTATATATGTAAATGGAAAATTTAGCGGGCATTTATATCAACTACTTGTCTGCAAAGCGGTAAAATTTGGCTACTTGAATATAACGTGCATGGATGTGACCTTGATGTTGGAATGGTGAATATATATTGATTTCTTTCTCATTATCCTATGTATAATTTGTTTAATGCTGCTGCGAGTATATATACATATATATATATATATATGTTTATATGCATGTGATCTGTGATAATGTAGGCTAGAACTAACAACACAGAGTTATAGGGTGAGGTACATATATGGGTTATAATAGGATTAAAGATGCTTCCATAGCCTGCTAGATTTAGCACATGGAAACCAAACAGAAAACTTCATCAAAGTTTCCATACTTTTGTAATCTGACTCGTTACATGTGATCTCCTCTTCTTTCGATTAAGACTCTACACCCACAACGTACACATTCACTTGTTTCATTATATATATTTATATATACATATTTATTTATTTGTATATATAGTTGCGCGTCATTTGGTTTTCATATATCACCAGAGGTTGAATTAACCGATTATATCATGAAGAAAATTTGCATGGCTCTTCCCAGAAATTCAATTTGTATATGGTTCTTTTTCTGGCATTATAGCTCTTAATTGTACGTATTCCTACATTTTCAATACATCAATTCTAGACCTTCTTCCCTGTATATGCACATAAAACACTGGTTGTGTTGTGAGATTGGAGGACTATTATATTGCTGTGAAATGATATCATCATAACGTTATTGCTTTGTTTTACCTTCTTAAATTACTCTAGAGAGAGCCTAGTTACAGATAAGTTGTTGGCAGAACTCTCATAACATTCGAATCAATTAGTAAGATCATATCGTGAGGACAAAAGAATCTAGAGACCATAAAAAATTGCTTGCAATAATTGAATTTTCTGTTTTCCTGTATTACTGAAAAGAATATCCAATAAAACCAAGCAACAAATCAGTATATATATATATATGTGTGTGTGTGTGTGTGTGTGTGTATGTAGTAATGTAATATGCTTCGACCCCTAAACAATATTATTGTAATCTGCCAAACATATACAAAACTATATGCCTCGTACATGGCATGAATCATTTAACATTATTGTCATTCAAATTGAACCAAGTATAATCATTTTACAAAGAAGTGATTAGATGAAAACAACCATCTTAGGTCATGCTAATTATAATCATATTACAATCCACAATTATATTGGTCAATAAGAATAAAAAAACTTGTAAAATATCAATGTTTAAACATATTTCCTCAAATTTAGGATAGATGTGAAAAATTAAATTGAGTTAATCGGATAAGTTTTAGGGATATTATAGACCATATCCCACATACTAACAGATATATATGGTTCTCGAAGTTTCTTATTATATTTTCGCTTTTTTTTTTATCCTTAATATTGTATAAATAGGTAATAAAACATACATATAATATATATAAATAGGCAGTAAGACATGAGTGTCACGTCTTCTACAACATTTCTCTTTAATACTAGCTCCATCTCACTTCCTTTATTACTCTCTCTTGAATTCTACATAAATATATGCGTCGAGATTATTTCCACGAGTTTTCTTTTCTAATAGCATAATTTATCCCCATTTTACACTACTAAAATGTTGCTACTTTCATTAATAGATCCACACTAACTCTTGCTTCAATATTCTAGCATCTCTATAATGGTTTGAAATTGATTAGGTTCTTCATTCATAAATCATATTTTTTGTCACTAAAAAAATATTTTCTAATACCATAGACTCTATTATTATTTTTTATTTGAATTTTTATATCAAGAAACTTTTTTTTAGAAAAAAAATATTACTTTATTGATTATCAAAGAAACTTATACATCACTGTCATTTACGTTGTATAAATAATTTAACCCGCAACATATCAATAACACGCCTAATTCATCTATAATTTAAAAGTCTTTGATTTTTATCAGAGAATCATCAATTATAGCTATATGTTGGTTTCAAAATAATTGAGAAAAAATAAATCATTTTGTAGGTAAACTTGTTGTCTTTAGGATACCTCTCTCTTATTAAGTCAACAAGATCATTTACTTTAATATCAAACTTGATCTCCACAACATCATCATAGTCATGAATCTATATTATAAACTTGTTTTATGCCGTAAGCTATATAGATAATTAATAGCTCATATGAAATCTTTTTAAAGTCATCCTTGACATCATCCAGTGCAAATCTAAGAGTTTAAGTAATTTACTATATCTTCTACTCTACTTTTCTCAACATTATAGTAATCATTCCCTCCTTGTCAAAATTGCGACACTATTAAAAACAATGTCTATAGGCATCTAATGTGATATAATAGATATATGAACAAAAGAAAGGCACAATAGACTATTATTACAAATATTATAATTCTAATAATACAAATTTGATAACTATTACAAATATTATACGTCTCATACACATGACGTAAATTGTTATCATAAGAATTACAATTATGACAATACACATTTAGTCATTATTCTAAAAACATAAAATGGTCACATACTTATACACTTCATAAACACGATAAACGACTATGTATAACATAAAATAGACATCTTATTGACTATGGTCTTGCCCTAAGTATAAATGTTAATATTTTTTTTTTTGTATTTGACACTATTTTTCCTTATAAAATTTATTCTTTGTGCCAATGAAAAAATCAAGTCCTTCTCCAATATTATTATATTCCAATTAGAAATCTCTACTCTTAAAATGTCATACTAAAACATCTTCACTCTTTTTTAACCATATAATTGGCAACACCTTCTATTTTTTATCAACATATTGTGCTCAATTAGATCTTTCCCAAATGACAATGGTTTAATGTCTCTATATCACCTTATGTCATATCTATTATGTCAAATACGATTATTTTATTGAATATTTATTTTCTTTTAAGAATATATTTTTTTAAGACAAATTTATTTTTCAAGTGATTCTTGAATATTGCTCTTTAGCGAAATTCATCTAACCATTGATAGTTCAGAGAGTTTTCAATCATCAAGCTTTTTGCTCATTTTAGCCATTAGTTCTTAATACGTGAATATAGAAATCTTTCTATGAAAGATAAGGATATTAAATTATTTTTTATGTTTGATACGAGTGGTACTTACCTATTTAATTCAAAGAGTTCGCCATTGCATGACCAAGATTATGGAAGTAAAAAAAAAAACTAAGATTGTTAATACTTATCCACTAATCCAAACAATAATAAAACTTTTTTTTTTTTTACTTTATATTGATGTTTATTTTTAAATTATTGATATTTTCGCAAAAAAGAAGAAGATCACTGACAAAAAATAAATATGTAATAATTAACCTATTCTAATCCAAGTGAATGAACTTCCAATTCTCTTGATTCATAGTATCTTGAATAAGGAGGTTGAGCATTTCCATATGAAGCACATATAAGAATGGAAATATAAGATCAATTTGGACTAATGACTTCAAGGTTTTAATAGTTTTAGTCATACGATCATGAATAAGAATTCTTATAAATACAAAAAATAAATATTTTTTAATGCACTTGACAAATAAGACATCAAACTCTACTATCTTGAGAGTGTAATAGATAAATTTGAAGAAATTATTAATTATTAACTTCTATTTTTTTTTGGAGAGAAAATGTTAGTATTATAAAAAAAATAAAATAAGGTTGGAAAAGTTATCGTCTCTTTATTTGTTTGTTTTTTTGCAATTTATGCTCTTGTAATTTTCTTTTTTTTTTTGAAGTACATAAAAGATAGTGAAGAAAAGAAACGAAAAGAGAAGGTTAAAATAGGGCAAGTAGTCATTTTGGTTAGGAAAAATAGTTATATTTAGTAAGTAATTCAAAAAACCTTAGGTTAAGGTTAAAAAAAAAAAAATTAATAATTTTATTATACAAAAATATAAAATAATACAAATACCTCAACTTTAAATTGAGTTCAAGATGTAATGCCATAATTAATTAAATTTCATTTTTTTTTCAAATTTTCTCTTAATATTATTAAATTATTAAATATGTATATAAGTGTATATAAATATTAAATCTATATTTAAAAATTAACTATAGATAAAGATATAATTATTGTCATCATTAATTTTTTTCTTTTTCTCTTTTTCAACTGTCTCTTTTTTTTTTTAGAAAAAAAAAACACTTAATTTCATACTTTTTCTTGTTACCTGTAAAACTAAAGTGATTTTTTTAAAAAAAAAAAATTCTAAAATCGCATTTTTTATTTCTTTATTGGTATCAAATATCCTATGTATCATTGACAGTAAAAATTACCAGTCAAAATATTCATAGTCAAATCAAAGTTTATATTTTTATCGTAGATATTAATTTAATTTTATCATAAAAAATATAAATATAGACAGTAACAAATCATATTTTATATATTTCAGAAGTACAATCATTTTTTTTTATAAATTAATATAAATATTAGATATTTGTTTATATTTTTCTCTAAGCTCCATAAAATTTTACTTAATAGGTTCACTATTTGTTCAATTAAACAAATTTAAAATACATTATAAATTAGAATAGATGATTAATATGTTAGACCTGTTTATGCCAATTTAATCGACAAATCATTAATATATTACATCTGTTTATACCTATTTAATTGGTTAAATAGGTTGAGTCTATATTAATTGATATTTATATATGTAAACTATATAGGTATAACAGTACTATATAAGGTCTACAAATTAATTAATTTACATTTTTAATTGGTTAAGTTATATAATTATGATGAACAATAAATTTAAATACGTTGATATATTTAATAGATAATTCGCAGATATGCTCATAATCTTTTTTTTTTTTTTAATAAAAATAATACAAAACTTATTGGTTACAACTAAATAGTTTTGAGCATAAGTTATTAATACTTGGATTTAGAGGAGTTGGAATTTTAATTTCACAAATAATTAGAATCTAATACAAAATTAACGATAGATAATTACGATTAACAAGTTTTACCACCCCTAACTTTGAGTTGGTTTATTCAAAAGCAAAGCCGAGAATACCTATTAGGTTGCTGATTTTCTTTTTTAACTTTACTAATTTCTGGTTCGGCGCTGGACTCTATGGTCAAGGGTCAGCCGGTGTGCCCCATCCAGCCGCGACAGCCCCTGCCGAACTTTAGTTGACTGACTGTACTTCCTACTGTTCTGAAGACTCGGCCAGAATTGGGGAAGGAGGAAGGCACGTGACCTAAACTTCCGCCGACTATTTTTGTGGAAACCGCCGGTCACTCAAGACCAAAAGGAATCAGTGTTTTTCGTTTCGTCCAATTTCTTTTATTCTCGGTTGGGTTTTTCTAAAACCCTTGCCAGTGAAGAAAACGGTAGTGGATAGAGGTTTTTTCTTTTCAAGTTTCGGAGATGGGAGCTCTCGCTCCTGCAGTTCCCTGGCTTCCGGAGGATGACCTTCTGCTGAAGAATGCTGTTGAGGTAAACTCTTCATTTGCGCCATTGCATATTCTTTTCATGGTCGGTTTGGTCGTTTCCTTTCTACGATTGATGGTTTTTGTTTTTGTTCGCTTCGTTTATCTTTTAATGTTGTATAAACTGCGGCCTCGTGGCTTACGTGATAATCTTGTCATCCGTTTCGTGGGATTGTCTTTGGTCTGGGAAGATCTCAGGGTTTATTCTACGGAGCGGTAAAGTTTTGGGAAACAGAGGGCGTTTCTGTATTTTGCCCCGGAAATCTGTTCTGCGCTCTTTAGCATTTTGCTTGTGTCCAATTAGGAGAGTAAATGTCTGATTGTTACACGTTTTTGTTTTTTAATTCATGTGTTTATATATTTATGAATGTGTTTATTCTTGAAACTACGTAACAGCTGTGTATGGCAGAATAATCAATTACTTTTTTATAGTTTTTTATATTTTAAAATTTTCTAAATCGTTGTCATTCTCTCTTTTGTCAATTGACCTTTTCTTCTCTATGAAGTCTTTGTCAATTGACCTACATCTTTTAGAAAATAAAAATTCTAGTATTGTTCTCTCTGTTGTTAATTGACCTATGTTTTTGTGAACAAAATAAATACAAATTTAGACAATTAAACTAAATGACGAAGCTTAACTTTCTTTAGTTTTCAAATCTAGCCATTTGGCTCATACAGTTGGTGGTTTTTGCCGCTACATTAAAGTTAATTCTGTGGTTCG